TAGTGAAAAAATTATTATGTATCCAAAACTGCATTGAAAACAAAGAAGAAAGTTTGAGGACTTACATTTCCTAGTTTTAGGAATTTAAACAAAACGATACAGAGATAACTCCTGTAATGCATATGACAACTGCTAACCCAGCATGAATTTTGCTTTCCATTTTCTTCATGACTATTTAATTGTACTGCTAAGTATGCATCCAGGCTAGGTAGCTTCTCCTGATGATTTTTAACCTCTTAAATCATTAATAAGAAAATGCAGCCTTACAAAATTAATTTTATAGCTAGAGGAGGGAGGAATACTGTTTCTGGTCACACACTATGATCAAAATGGACATGCTGTGAGCACCTAAACCAGGACATTTTCTTGCTAACAGGATGGCCAGGCCAAGAGCCCCTGAATAGAGGCCCTTTCCTTTTACTTCCTTTCCCTTTTCTCATGCACTCTGAGGTATATAACCCCTAGACTTCTTTGTTCTTTTGTCTTTCTCCCAAATATCCTGTGTCAACTCAACTTGAAACAACAATTTGAGGGAGAACAATCTCTGATGAATTGTGCCAAATTCATGTTCATCTTAATCACTGTGTAAGTAAAGGAATCTTGTGAAAATGCCACTGGGTAATGCCAATTGTTTGCTGAGATCTAAATTCCAGCATGAGCTCATTTCTCATCTTGGTTCATGGCACCATAGTAATCAAGAGTGTGCATAATTAACTTAAGTATTAACATATTCATCAACGGAACAGAATAGAGAGTCCAGAGAGAAACATACATACATTTGTCAGTTGCTATTAATGAAAATATCAAGGCATTTCAAAGAGGAAATTACAGTGCTCTCACCAAATGATGCTGAAGAAACTGGCTATCTCTATATAAAAGTTAACTTGAATTTGACTGTTAAGTTTCTAGGAATATATAGAAGAAAATCTTCATAAATTATGGGTAGGTGAGATTTCTTAGATAACACAGAAAAAACATGAACCATCAGTATAAATAAATAAGACTTCCCAAAATTAACAACTCGTGTCTTCATACTAAATAAATAATAAAATAAATAGCCACACTCTTTATGCAAATATTATATATATATATATATATATATATATATATATATATATCTCCCATATCCATTGCTATGGAGTTGATTCTTACTCCTAGCAACTCTACAGAACAGAGTAGAATGGACCCATAGGGTTTCCAAGGCCAAAAGATTATGGAAGCAGTCTGTCACAACTTTCTCCAAGGGAGTAAACAGTTGGTGGATTCAGGGGCTTAACCACTGTGCCACCAGGGCTCCTTATATATCCAATAAGTAACTTGAATCCTACAATTTAATAATTTAAACAACAACAACAAAAAGAGAAGCAGGCAAAAGATTTGAACACACGCTTATCAAAAGAAAATACGTGAGTGACTGACAAGAAGATGGAAAAAATCTTAACCTTATTAGTCATCGGAGAAATGTAAATGAAAATAATAGTAAAATGCCACTACACAGCCAATTGAATGACTAAAATTAAAAAGATGATACATGAAATATGGTCCCATTAGAACTCTTATGCATTGCTGATGGATATATAAAATAGTACAACCAGTTAAGTTTCTTAAAATATTAAACAAACTTACAGTCTGATCTACCATTCAATATAGCAATTCTTTTATCAGCATTTACTCAAGAAAATAAAAAATTATGTCTCAAAAATATTTGTAATTGTATTTTCATAATAGGTTTATTCATAATATATCAAAATTGTAAACAATTAGATGTACATTTTGACATAACTATACAATAGATCCAAATTGATTCTGACTCATAGCAATCCCATTGGGTTTCCAAGGTGGTAAATCTTTGCAGAAGTAGATTGCCCCATCTTCCTTCCATGGAACTGCTGGTTGGTGTTGAAGTCCCAACCATTTGGTTAACAGTCAAATCCCTTAAGCGCTGCACCACGAGAGCTCCTATACAGTACACTACAATTCAGCAACAAATGAATTACTGGCACATCCAAACAAAGATGAATTTCAAAAAAACTAGAATTAGCAAAAGAAGTCAGACACAAACGCATACATACTACATGATTTTATTTGTATGAAACTCTAAAGAAAGACAAATGTAATGCATAGTCAAAGAATGCAAATCAGTGGTTGTCTGGGGCTCAGGATGGCAGGAAATTGACTGATGAGAACAAAAGGATGTTTTGTGATGATAAAAAAATTTTCATCTTCATTGTGGTGGTAGATACACATGTGTATACATTTGTCAAAGCATGTCAAACCATGCACCTAAAATGCATGAATTTTATTATATGCAAAATATAACTCTATCAAGTTGATTTCACACAGGCAGGCACAAAAAAGGACAAGTTACAAATTTAAAACATAAATGAACTTTATTATTTCTACACAGAGTAGTTGGTATCAGACTTAATGTCCCTTTTTAAACAAATATAAAACTGGAGAGAAAAAATAATGCCACACTAAGAAAAATACTAAAAGAAATCCAGTGGAATAAAATGATCCCAGATAGAAGAATGGAAGTGCCGGAGGAATAAATAGTATGAGAATGAGTAAATATAAAAGACTTGATTCTTTATAACACTATTGATGACATTTTGATGAATTTATAAAATATTCAGAAATAAAATATAAGATACTTAATATAAAAATGTAAGCAGC